CACTCAGCAGAAGAGATAGCCATAAATATATATAATAATATTAATATTATTGTGAAAATTTTGTACACTATCCTATAGGTTTCGTGGCTCGAATTGTAGGAAATAATAGATATGATTTCGTGAAATTGCTATCTTCTGTTAATTATATAATAATATACAATTTGCATTATTTGCATTCCAATTTATTTTTTTAAAGCTCATTTAAAAAATGTTCTTTCTTATCTTACTTGAAATTGTAAACAAAAAAGCTGAAAAATCTGAAAATTCTCAAGAGTATTTTTTCATTCAAGATTTTTCTGTAGATACTTGTAGCTTCAATTGATAATTAAGATAATTCAATTATTGACATTTATTTAATTATGTCTTTATTGTATTTAGTATCGATAGCGAAATATAACAGAGAGATAAATGAATAAGGGCCGATTGTTTCATCTTCAGATAAATTGTGTGATTATTTATCTAATGGATAGACAAAAGAGTAAAAGAGTAGGAGAGAGTAAGAAAGTAAGAGAGTGAGCTGAAGTTTATTGAAAGATAGAACAACCCAGTCTAAATAAATTATATTTGTAGCAATATAATTTATATAAGAGAACGTTAATGTCTTTCGAAACTAAATAAAAAATAATTTAAAAAATGGAGACTGTTAAAGGAGAAAACGAGCGTAGAAAACGATGCACGGATTGACAAAATTATATTCATAAAAAATATATTTTTAATAATTACCTTTATATTATTATTATATATACGTTTCTTTTTTTTAATTATTTTTTTAATATAATTTAATTTCATATCTTGTTTCTACAAAAAATAGCGTACTTGGCATGAAAGACGTCAGAGAATCAACACTAAACATTCCGAATTTCCAAGATCGAGGCATACTTTTGTAAAATAATTACTTTGACATAGGATTATATATACGATAAAATCACTTTATTCGAAAATTTTATCAGAAAATTTTTGTTTGCGGCGAATTGACATTTGATGAAATAAACTTCAGAACGACAAAACTTCCGCAAAATATCGATACGAACTTTGCATTTGTGTATGATAATTATAACTATTCTGTTATATTCTTTCTTTATGTATTATGTACAGGCACGACACATATACATCTGTGATTATCACAAGCAAGTGATCCAGTGCGCAAGAACCAAACAGCAGCAGCAGCGAAGGCGCAAGGATTCCGAAGAAGATTCGGGTGAAACTGACAACGACGTCCCAGAAGTTGACCTCTTCCAACTGCAAGTCGGCACTCTGAGGCGGTACAAAAGGCACTACAAGGTTTCTACCCGACCAGGTCTTAACAAGGCTCAGTTAGCGGATGTAAGTATAGTAAAATTATTTTCTATCTAGCACGTGCAATAAATATAACAAGTTAAATATGTGTATACTTATATATATATTTATGTATTCAAATTAATATATGTATATAGTATTTTAAATGTAAACATAGTCATAATTGTTATAAAAATTAAATTATTTGTAAAAAAGGATAGATAAAAATATGTATTTTAGGATGTTTTAAGATATGTAAAAATGAGTAGATAAAAATAAATCAAAGTCCGTCTTCACACCTCATTTTTAGCGATAAATACATCATGCATTTAGCATATGGTTTACATTACATATAAAATCTGAAAAATGTGCACACTTATCGATAAAAATAAAGGTAAATACGGACCAAATAGTTTTTCTTCCCAGATTTTTTCCAAATGACTGTTAAATAAATAATAATAAATAGGTTTATATTATTGTTCATTCATGTTACTTTCAAAGATAAGAAAACAAAATAAAACACAGTGAAAATATGATAGAAATATGATAATAACTAAATTTTTGAAAAAACGCAATATGTTTGTTCCTAGATATGTTCTTTATATCCGAATTAGTCCTCGATTCTCAAAAAATATCAGCATATGAAGTATTAGGAAATCTATATACGTATAATATATACTAGTATTTTTTTTTCGTAAATATTTATACGCGATATTTTTTGAGAATACGATCTCTAGTGTCGTATTTAAAATAAATATTTGTTTGAAGTTCGCGAAAATGCTGTTTAAATACACCGCTTATATACATGGATCATGGATCAACATGGATCAATTCAGGACAAAGAACAGGTCTATTAATTCAAGGGCAAGGGAAGGGTACTGAAAGAGAGAAGCTTCGCCTTATTACCGCCTACTCCGATAAATGTTTTGTCTACATCTAAATCTAATTCTTGGCTCTACGAATTCGTTTCACATTCGAATTCAACAAATGCCATTCGAATTTTGAGTATAAATGAAAGATTCAGTCTTTTCAGCTGAATTTCTTACATGGGGGAGGGGAGAGGGGTCATCTTTTCCCTCTTTCATAGGAGAAAAAATTATTATTATTGGAGAGAAAAAAGAAAGAACATGAAGATGCAAGAAATTCAGCCATAAAGAATAGGCCTAAAATGAAGAATTCCTATATTGTTTTTTCTATTATATTTTCACTATATGATGCTTTATTACTTAATAACTGATACTAACAATGAGTAAACAGTTGCTTCTTGACATTATTATAATAATTTAAAAAAATAATGTATCATAAAATTCTTATTGCAGACTCTCATGAAGCATTTCAAGACCATCCCCGTCGTGGAGAAGGAAGCTCTAAGTTTTTTCATATATACAGTTAAGACCAATGCAAATAAGTTAGACCAAAAGAACGGTTTAAGTAGCAGTGACACGACGTAACATTATGTGGCAAAATTTTTCGTATAATATTAGTGATAAGTGTGTAATATCAATTTTTACTTGTTAATATGTATATGTATTTTATAAGTCCATTTGAAAAAGATATATATATATATATAAAACAAAAAATAGATGTATATATAATATATAAAAATATAATATATAATATGCGTATGTATATATGTGCTATGCCGTGCAGTCTAACATATATATACATATGTCAGTATCAAAATTTTGTTGTTATTTTACTTGCATTTCATTGCACTTCTCGTACATGTAGAAGCTGACACGATGTAAAAATGTACAAAATGCGTGCTCGCGATTCCGTTTTAGAAATCGTGGGTGACGATATAATTTGAAAAAAAGATAATAGTGCGCAGTTTATTATTACGACCAGAAATAAACTTCTGTGAAATCAATGCATTTTTATCTATTTTACCTTTATTGAAAAAAAAAGAAAATACATAGAATATACGTTCCGTCGGGAGCTTGATATAATTCCCTGATATATTTATATATCTATACTTAAAATATGAATATGTGTAGCGTTGGATAAAGACATGTATAAAGATCTCGGTTTTTTTTGTTTTTTTCTTTTTTACTTTCTATTGTACCTTCAACATGCTTATTAGCAATTACTATTATCATTATTAACTCGCTTTTTCGATCGATTGAGCCTCTTGATAAGGATTTTCAATCTGTCCTCCTATTTTAGCTATGAAGATGAAATAATTTATGCAGATATAAATTTAACTCGTTAAAAACATTCAGTGGGTAAAGAAATATATGAACATAGATTAGTCTTGAAAGAAACATTAGCAAGTATTGCTTTTTATTCAATGACTAAACGAAAAATAATAGGTACTTAGTTAAATATTTGTCAAAATACAAATGTATCAAATAATTAAAAATAATGAGAAACAAAAATTGTCTGTGAACGAAATACTCGTACAGCGAGATAGATAAAAGCTTTTAAACATTTTATCTATTTATATTTTGATTTAATAGGTTTTTCTGAATTGTTTGAAGAGTTTGTTTCCTCAAATGATCCTTTTTTTTACAAAGATATCTTATTAAAAATTGTTCGTTTTCAGCTTCAAATTTAACAAATATAAAAAATTTTTAATTCTCTATCATCATTATTATGATAATTATTATGGTGCTGCAATAACTATGTTAAAAATACTAGGTATTGCTATATAACTATCCTTTAATTTTGTCCTAACAATGCGTTTAATATTCCTATGGTTTGTATTATGTACTTTTTTTTCTAAAGCAATAAGTATCGTCGACGTTCAATTTTTAAACAATCAATCAGTTTTGCAATACATACTTTTTCTTGCCCACTGCATCATTAAAATCATATTTCCGTTAAAATCAATTATTACGAGGTAGCGAGATTATCCTTAACAATCTTCTGCGATAAATTTGTCGCATGCTGCACATAGTTCCATCTTAATTATCCGAATTATCTTGCTTTTTCTTTATTGTTCCGGTTAATTAATTTCTTTCATTCGCACCATTTCTTATGTCTCGGCGAAGCGATCTACTGTAATTCTACAATGCAATATAGGTGCATGGTACATTATATTTTTTTTTATTATTCGCGAACATTTTCGCTATCATTGCTTAATATTAATGCATTGTAATAGCATAGCAATTACCATTACTCGAATTACTATTATTCTTCTATCCTTAAAACGCATATAATAAGAACCTGATTATTCGAACGCTCGATCGATCAAATGAATAGATTACATGAGTAGTATATAAGGAACGCTCAAATAATCATAAGCATGATGAAATAGATTTGGATAATAAAGATTCTATTGTGCTCATTACACATAGCTAATATATATATGCATATATAATATATATATTATATATAACATATATTGTATATAAGATATATATATATATATATCATATGATATATATATATATGATAGATATATATATATATATCATATGATGCAAATGTTAGTTATGTATATAATATAGCATTTCCATATGATATAGAAATTCATTACAAAATGGAATTCTTCTTTTTTCAAATTTGACTTTTTTAGCATTCTAAATATATAACCAAATTTCTGAGAGACAATTTCTTTCTTTTCCGGACAATATCAACAGTATACATAATATATACAACGATAATTCTAGGTTAGTAGTAAAACTCGCTTGTCTGTTGCAAGTTTGAACTCCGATTATCTGCAGTTCTTGAATTAGAATAAAATTGTCGTCCTTGTCCGTCCCATGGGTCCATATTATAATTTATACGGTTCCAACTTCCTCCGGGTCATAATTTTTAACTCTCTTGTTATATGCAATGATTTCCTACATTAAAAATCGTTTCATTAAATTTGTGAACAAGTTAATTGTGTACAAGATAATCAATTATCATACATTAATGCAAATCAACAGAATATATTAAAATCGAATGTCTTTAATATGTATTTCGATATAAACATACTCTTTCGTATCGAGCTCTGTCTTCCTCCGCAATGGCCATATATTTGGATTTTGTCTGTAAATCCGTACTCATCCACAATTTTCCTAATTCCTTTGCAATATCACCTACTCCCATCTCAGGGTGCAATTCTCTCATCTTGCCACGTAGTTCTTGGCAGAAGTAGAAAAATGCAGATCTATAACATATCGAATCACTATAAATATCATAAAAAAACTTCAACATTTGAATATTGTTTTATATCGATAAATTCTATCTGAATTTGCAAAATGGATTTATATCAACAAATTCTGTCTGGATTTCATTGATAAAATCATAATAGAACAAAAAAGTACAAGTTTATATTATTAACGCATCTTTGAAATATATTTCTGTCTAAATATTATGCATTTTCAATTTAACGTACAGTGCTCGTTTTGGTGCATCCTTGTCTCTGTATCTCTTTGTTCCTCTGCGTGTTGGTCTCTCTGGTTCCTCATGTCCAGAGTAGTGTCTATCATAATAATACATTTTCTTGTTGTTGCAATGTGCATTACCATCTTCAAGATGTACGACCTGTGAAATAGATTAGTATTAATCATTATTAAATACAGTATATTAATTAATATTAACTATCATTAATAAAAAGATACATCATGAAAAACTTTATAATAAATTTTTTATTTATATTGATTAAACAGATTTAATTCAAGTGACAATTCATCCCCCTTTCCTCTGATTGTTTAAATTGTATTTTCTATATGGTTTAAGTTTGGGTCATTATAAACTCAAGTATTTTTAAGGCATTGTATTAATTGTCTCACCTCGTTCTTCACCGGTATTGTGATATAATTTTTAGAGCCGCCATTAGTCCACTTTGTCTGATTAGTGGAAACATTGGACACATTGTTGGGTTTCATCACACCTTCTGCACCACACTCTGCGAATGAAAATACATGGATTATGTGTGTGATACAGCCAGGACGAATCTACATAATAATACTATTCCGACTACATACCTGGTACCATATTAGCCTGGCCGACAATCATAGTCTCTCTCATTCCAGAGTTCAAGGAATTGTCGCCAGTTTTTGTAAGATATACATTCTTTCTATTATCTGATGATTCCATGATTGTTTTGTTTTTGCAGAGTTCAAGGACTGTGACACAACTTATTATTCAACTGTTCACAATGATAACATGAAATTATTCTTTCCAAAATAATATTAAACCACAATTAATTCGAAGCAAAATTCATAGTAAAATCTGAAAAAAATAAAAAAAATAAAATAAAATCCAATTTTTTTCTCGTCCACTATTTTAAACTTCCTTTATATATTTAATTGTTACTCTACTATTTGTTATTATTATTATTGAGCGCTCAAACCAAACAGTCTGTTCGTTTCAATTGTTAATTATACAGCTATCGTGGTTCTAAATTTTTTGTGGGGGAAAATAATGACGATCAAGCCGAAGCTGAACTCTCAGCTGCGATCTCTTACGATCTCTCTCTTTTTCTCCGTCTGTCGGTTTATATCTCCGAGAGGACACTTATTTTAAACGACGAGTAAGTACGGTCAAGGAGAACAGATTGTTGGTAAATTCCGTCTTTTCCCTCAGGTACGCGACCGCGAGAATTTCCACGACTATGGATACGAGTCTCTCGTGGGACAGAGCTCTGAAGAAGCTTGATCGACTTCCACTTTTTTTAAAGCGTCATCATTTCAAAGCGCGCTATCAGTTTGCAACTCTATCCATTTCTTCCAACTTTTACCTTGCGGAGTCGATTGGTTTGTCTCCGCAGAGAGGCTCGCGTAGCCGAAGCGTCGAAGCACTCGGCGTCGTCCGGTCGTACGACAATCACTTATACCAAGCGTCGCAAACGCGGACACGCAACGCGAGCGGAAGCGGGAGGAAGCGGAGGCGGAGGTGGCGGCGGCGGCGGCGGCCAGCGGGTTCGCGATCGCGAAAGAAACGAGAAGATCGGTGGGAGGAGACGTGAGGGGGAGGGGGAGGGGCGAGGCGGCGGCTATTGGGCTCGATTTCACGGATAACGGAGGCTATCGCACCTCGGGACGGAGGAGCATTGTATCATATCCAGATATCACGGAGGTGATCGCGGCAATCGTGTTCGCGAAAGAGCGAGATGCAACGTCCGACGGGCAGAGACGGAGGGAACAAGAGCGAGAGAGCGAGAGAGAGAGAGAGAGAGAGAGAAAGAGAAGGAAAAAAAAGGAACAGCCGGGACTCGAACGAATCGGATATGGCAGTTGCCGTGGCGTGGCGTACTTATATTGTTACGGGATCGTGTACTATGTCCGCGCACGGAAACGCGTCGATTTTCCCCTTTCTTTTCTTTTTCTTTTTTTTCTCTTTTACCTAGAAGTGCGCTCATACGCGCGGCTGTCGCATTTTTTTCGCAATCACGATGACCTGCGACAGTGACTCCGCGAGGTGCCTGTTACCGCACCTTTAATCGTCCCGATAATCGTCAATCGCCCGTGTGAACTGTGAATAACCGACACGTTACGCACCTGCGTGTACTGAAAAACTGATATGTACTGATATTCCTGATATATCTACGCCTGCGACTATGCGATGTTGCGATCGCGATACAGCGGGGCCGAACCGGATTGGCTGACGATTTCCGGAAGAATCAGGATGGCCTCTCGCGCATCCTAGTGACGGTTGTAGTTACGCTGCTGAAATTCCTAAGAGTCAGGCTTTCCTATTGGATGTCAATTTGGACTATTCGGAACGAACCGACCTTGGAAGTAATTGAAGTTGCCGCTTTGCAGTTCCTGAAATTGACTTCTCGCCCGTCGGCTCTACATATTTTTACTTCAATTGTTTCGATTTTCTTTCTACTTATGTGTCTCCATTGCGTATGCGCGAGAAAAATAACACTATCGCAAACCGTCGCGAATGTACCGTTGGTCATTTGTACGGTGAAGAACGGCGCGAAAGTGAGCGACTTTGATTTCGAGCATCAGTAATAATTTTAAATAATATCTTATAGTTACTTATTTCTGTGAAAAAATAGTATTCGATTAATCAAGTTGAATATATACGCGACAAAAGTGAGTTTCAATTTTATTTAACATATCTAGTAGATATATTTCATTTTTTACGCGCCTCACGCTTAACGAATTATATTTGTCGAAAATGATGAAAGATTACTAAGTCACGTTTCATTGTGATTTACTTGAGAAAAAGAAAAAGATTAATTCTCAACTGAAACAATAAGTCATGATTATCAAAATAAAATCGTTAAAATCGTGACTGATCGACAAGTAATTTTTTAATTATAATCATTTTGACGCCATTTTGATATTATGATTACTTTTTGTTTTATTTGAGCAATTTTAAAAATTACGCAATTGACTTTTTCAGCACTTTAAAGTGATGGAAATGGACATGTTAATCTGCAACAAATGCTTCACTCCGCTTTATAGAGGCAAACGTCCGTACTACATTACACAGTGCGGTCATATCTCTTGCCAGACTTGTCTGCAGCAATGTAAATTTTAAGAAATATTTCACATTACCATATATAACTTTCCGCGATTTGTTTTCCATCCACCTTCGATTCACGACTTTACAGTCGAGAAGCAGTGTCCGCAATGTCAACGTGTCGGCACCATTTCATTAGCATTAGAAGAACCGTTGATACCGAAGTTGACACCATTCTTCCACACTTCTATTGCCGAGACTATGGAAATGTTGTTGAAGGTGGACTCGTTTCGCAACAATCAGTTTAAAATATTGATGCAGCGCTTCCAGGAACTTGTACATATAATCAGCGTCTCCTATTCTTATCACTTAGTTTCTTCGGAGTTTTAATTTCTTATTATTTCCATACAGCACACAGAAGCTTGCAGTAACATTGCTGCAATGTTTATAATATTATTGCAATATTACTGAAACGTTGAAATGTTGCTGGAATAATCTGTGCTATGTTTTACATTTCGTCTTTTACTATCCTTATGTTTCTGTTATTCCTTTCTTTCTATTTTTCTTGAAATTCCAACAGTCACTTTTTGCGTCAATCATTAGTTTAAAAATAACAAATGCTGCGCTTCCGATCTTGTATATAAAATCAGAACCTGCCTTTCCTATTTTCTTACTTTTGATTTTTCCTACTCTTAATTTTTTGTGATTTAATTTTATTACATTTCGTCTCTTAACGTATATATATCATTTTTTTTTAATTGTTGTTATCGACGATGGGTTCATCAAAGGATAAAAAATACGAGGTACTGAAAACTCGGTACTGGCTAGACCGTCGCAATTTGAGAGCGTTGACGGAAAAATACGTGATTTCGAAGAAGGCTAATGAGAAGCTCGAAAAGAAACTGCTACTCGTCCAGGTGGCCAATAAGGAAACTCCGCGATCCCGCGGAACAGAAATGCCGATGACAGACTCCGGTATTTTCTCGAATCAGTCGAACACAGGGTAAAGTGCGAAATTTTGAACAATACAAAAAAAAACGATTTTATATTTTTGAACGAGATCAAAGAAATAAAAACAAATCTCCTTGTGAGATTCGTTTTTGCTTTACATACAATTAATTATATTATATCATTCAATTTTGATAATTCGGAAATAAAATGTCTAAATGATATTATGATATCCTCTATTTTTATTACCTATATCCTTTATTTACAGATATTCTCTGGCATCATCAATAAATTTTATGAATTCCGCGGGCATAACACCACCTATTCGATCGCCCGAGAGAAAATTCTATAGAACTGCCGATGGTTTTCGCATACCCGTAAACCGTAAATTACCTGCGAAATCTCTTGCTTCTTCGAATATGTTATCTTAAACTGTAATTTTATAGAATAGATCCATTTTTTTCCTTTATTTCTCTTTCATAATTGTATTATTTCGAGTTCGCCGTTACTGTTTTATTTAATTTATCACTTTAATAAACAAATTAAAGGATGCGAACTTTCGATTTGATTAAAAAAAAGTAACAATTTTATATATAAAATATATGAGAAATATGTGAATTATAGGTCTGTTCTTTTTAGCTGAACTTTTGCATTAATTCATCTTTCATCCTTTTCTCTTTAGGAAGAAAGAAGAAGAAGAAAGATGAACTGGTGTAAAATTTCAGCCAAAAAGAAGGTCTTATATTTATTGTGAAAATCCGATAATACATATTTGTAACATGTTTATATAAGCGAAAAAACGCAATGCTTTAATTTAATTTAAGAGAAATGACAATCTTGTTAATTATATGAAAAAAAATGTGAATTATTTTATTCTGATGAAGATTGTTACATATTTGAAATATCGGTACAATTTAATATATTATTTCTTATTAAAAAAATTAATTGAGTTTTTCTTTTAATCTCACAAATTTGCAAATGAGGCATGCGATTGATATGAATGCAATACATACTTAGCATGTCGATGATTCGTAGATTTATTTCGACATGTTGCGTAATTTATCGTTCATTTATCATTATAATGTGTCATCCGTCGATATAGGATGCGTTCCGTGAGTGATGCATCATTTATCCTTGTTATTCCAAATAATAAAGAAGAATAAAACGACACATCATGCGCTTTATTCGTAACTCGCAACGCATCCCTATAGATATGATACGCGAATTTGAATTTAAAGCGACATTTGATCGGTAAAATAGGCTGCAATTCCTGCACGATAAAAACAATCGCGGGATTCGTAGATTATAGGGACGAAGTTGTTGCCTTGAGTCGGGCTTAGATTTGAATGACGACTATACGAGTGAGATTGATTGATTTATACGATTTATGTCTGTACTGTATGTACGATCCTGTAACGAGTATGTTTGGAAGATCGATTACGGATCCGTTTTAATAACGGACATCTTCGTCGCGAAATGATATGATTAGTGTAACAAAGTCAGCATGGCAGAGGCAAGTAATAATGACAGTGGTGTATCGAGTCTGGCCGACGACACGATAGGAAATATGTTTAGCGACGAGTTTCCAAGTGATTTACAAGAGGTAATTCAATAATATCAAGCAATCATTTAGGTTAGAGTGTTAAGTAACTGTTGAATTAACACTTTATGCCACATGTGGCACATTAAAATAATGAAATGTTTTGTTTACATTCTTTCCCCTTTTTTTCTATAAAATGACATCTGCTGATGTCTACAGATAGTGTCGGTTAAAACGGAAGACAGCATTTTGCAAGAAGTATCAGAACATATCAAATGCACTACAAAATCAAACAATCAGCATAGAATACAAGATGATAAGGAACCAAATGCCGAAGGGAATATTGAAGTTAATTGCAAAGAAAATCATAAGGCAGAGTTGCAAAAGCAGGTCGAGATTGGAGAAATTACTCCATTTGAAGCAGTATTTAAACAGATAGCTTTAGAGCAAAAAGAAAGGTATGATATAAAATATTTATTTTTTTTTACTTGTGCAATTTAAGTTAAATTTTGGATGTAATAATTGACAAACTTAGTGTTTAAATAATTCAAATTTTCACAATTGAATTTAATAATTATTTTACATTATTTTAGGAGTGCCAATAAAAGTTCTCAATTGTCTGATCTTGAGAAGTACTTCAAACAACAAGCTGCTCTTGCTGAACAAAAGAGAAAATTAAAGACTGTATCTAAGACACCTGACAAAGATACAGTACCGATCAAAAAAACGAAATTACTTGATACTGATACAAGAACAAATAAAAAATGTCAAAAATCTAAACATGAAAACAGCAAAGATAACACTGTGCAAAGTATTGACAAGACAGACTCCAATGAAGCAAATGAGATTATTGACAACAGTTCAGAAAGCGAATATATTCCCAGTGATAATGAAGTGGATTCCGGTAATATTAATATTCAATCTATTTAGATATATTCAAAAGAGATACGCTAAACAATCTTTTTCAGACATGGAGACTAAAGTTTCATCTAAAAAAAGAAAAACTTCAGTCAAATCCGGCTGCATCCGTACAAAAAGAAGTACATATCGTTTATAATTGATGAGTTATTTGATCCTTTTGCTGTTATTATCACTGTTTTATTATTAATTATTTTGATCTTGTTACTTTTTAAATTTATCCAGCTCGAGATGATGGAGATAATCAATTATTCAAGCAAAGAGTAGAAACAAATACTTATCCCAAAGATGAAGCAATGCACAAAATTGATACTCTCTTTAAAATGCCACAATGTATTTGGGAAAAATTATACAGGTAGATATGCTATTTTGTCGAGTTTTACAATTTTTTAATCTATAAACAAATATAATTTAAATATTAATAATAGTTCTTTTACAATGAAATATAAATATTTATATAACATTTAGAACAATTAAAGAAAAGATTTAAATTTAATATTTAGACCTTTCTATGAATTACTTTGGTATGAATTAATTTTTTGTGTTAGAATGAATTTAATATTTAGTGTCATATTTGAATTAATATGATTTTACACACATATATA